GGGTGGGGCAGCGGCGACGGCGGAGGATGGCAGGGATGAAGCGAGGGGATACAGAGGGAGCCGAGTTTGCTATTCCGCGGTCCGGAAAAGAATTTAGAGGCCTGCTTTGGCCCGGGCCGCTGCGCGCTGCGCGTCGCTGTGTGACTGCGGGCGCGGGCCTGCGGGCGTGGCCTGCCGGGTGGGAGCTGGAGCCCCGGTCTGCAGCGCCCCCGGGGCATTATCCAGGATTACGCGCTGCTTCGCCACGCTCCCGGTGCCGGCGCCGCGCTGCTGCTTTGTGTGTGTCGCTCGTGTGCGCGCGGGGCGCTCGGACCGCGCGGGGGAGGGAGGGAGAGAGAAAGAGAAAGGGAGAGGCGGGCTGAGAGTGCGGCCCTGGAGCCTACCAGGCCTCCAGGCTCCAACGGCGCTGCAGGCTGCAGGCTCCATCACTGGCTTCTGCCGGTTCCAGTGTTTCCAGCTCCAGCTGCTGCTGGAGGCGCGGTGGGGCAACGAGGCGCTCCTCACGAGGCCGCTGTGTTTTCTCTCCTCGGGCACATGCCTTATTTCTTGATCCCTCCAGGGAGAAGGCTGGGCGTGGCGGGGCGGGGCGGGGCGGGGCAGGTGAGGGAGCGCAGGAGGTCCGCCCCTCGAGTCTTAGAGAGCGTGTGCGCGGCGGCGGAAAGGTTTGCTGCAGAGATGAGCTGCCCGCGCCGTTGCACCGCCGACCTCCGATCTCGACATGCGCGGGTTTAATCCTCTGTGGCATGCCGGTCGGGTGTGGCGGGGCGTGGCAGGGGTGATGGGTGATGGGGCCCGGTGGCTCCTCCCACGACAGCTTATCATGGGGAGCCGCTCTTCGAGCGTGGTCCACACGGTGTCGGACTGGGCGTTGACGCGTCACCCGGCCAGGAAGAGGACGTCGCGGTGGAGGTGGTGAACGAGGAGGAGGAGGCGGAGGCGGCGGTGGTTGCCGAGGGTGAAAACAGATGTTTGGAAGGGCGTCGTCGTCGTCGTCGGGCGCCGGATGGGGGCGGATGGGGTCGGATGGAGGGGTGGGGGTGGAGATGTGACGCCGCAATGCATTCATTACACAGCGTAATAACGGGGTGCCCCAGTTCATACGCGCGGGGGAGAGGAGGGAGGGGGCATGTGTCATTCTTTGCCGGTGAGCCGCTTCCAGCCTCCCCCCTTCCCCCTCGGCCTGTTCCTCCGCACCGTTACGAGATCTCATCAGTGCGCCGTCAAACCCCGTCAAAAACCCCTCTCTAGACGTCTAATAACACAGGCCTCCACGCCCGCCCCACCACGCCCCGCCCTACCACGCCACGCCACGCCTTCGCCCCGGACCCATTTCCAGGGCATTTCAGATATCTCCCCACCACCGCAGTCGCGGGAATATCTTGCACCACCTCTCGCATCGAGGAGGGAAGGAGATCTACCATAGGAGAGAGAGAGGGGGGGGGGGGTGAGGGGGAGGTCGAGGAAGAAGAGAAGGAGGAGGAGGAACAAACAGAAAGGAGAAGTAGAGGTAGGGGAAGGGGTAGCATGCCAAAGAAACCTGCTGGCCTGGTGCTCTCTGTAGCACGTCCGACTGTTTGCGGCTGTACTGACGGTTTGTGTTTTGCCTCTCTGTTTCAGATCCCAAGATGAATCCCTTACCGGTGTGGATGCTCACTCTCCTGCTCGCGTGGAGGCTGGCCAGGGTCAGGGGTAAGTGCCAGCCGCAGACGCCTAGCCGCGCTGACCTTTCATTTTCATTAACATTTTTCTCATCATCGTCGTCGTTGGTGTTTGTTGTCGTTGTTTCTCCCCTTTTCTTTTCATTTCATTTTGAAAGAGGGGTGGGGAGCACACGTGCCGCCAGTTTTGTACAGAGGTTGATGGTGGCGATGCCGTGTAATGTTCCAGCCCGGGCTTCACGTGGGCGCGGGCCCAGCCTGTCCGGCCCGACTTGATGTCCTGACCTCTGCCCTCCCCGGGCACAGCCATTAGTCTCGCAGGGTCGCACTGGTCGCACGGCGTGACGTGACCGGGGGGGGGAGTGCTGTCCCAATTGGACCGCGTCGCTCCCGGATGCCGCGGCATCGGGTCGCGGCCGCGAGTTCGCGTTAAACTCCGTGGACGTGACCATGGGCGGGTTCTACAGTGGGCGAATCAGTTGTTCAAGGGGTTTAAAGATATTACCGAGTGGCGCCCTTTTGTACTGCGGGCACTGTCGTTGCGTTTATTTTGCATGTTTCATATTATTATATATTTATTTTTTAAAATTTCCCCCTCTGCCTGACGAGGCCGAGGTCCTCGGCTGCCGCCCCTGCGCCGCCGGCGTGCCATCTGTTCGTAATTACACTCTCATTAATTTGAACCGCATTTCGAATAAATAACGGCGGCACCGCGTCGACATTAGCGCGAGGGGGGAGGGGGTGGGAGAATGGTAAGGGGGGTGGGGCAGGGAAATACAATCAGAACGAGGCACCCCGCTGCAGCCGGGGCTGCCTACGCTGCGAGTTCTGAATCCTGGGTGCCCTGCAGGTATGCTAGGCGCCCGCTCCGCTGCTCTCATGCGCCCCCTTTCGAGGAGTATTGACGCGTAGTTGATGTCGCGCGGCGATACTCTGGCTGCTTTGGTGACGTTGCGCGGTGCGTGTGCGGGGCGGGGACTGCTGGAGAGCCGCCGAACCGCCGCTAGAGCGCACGGAGCGCGCCACCGTCGCCGTTCCTGCCCTTGTTCCTTGTTTTGTTTGCTTTGGTTTGCTTGCAAATTTACGTGTTTGTGATGATGGTGTGAAAATTTGGAAAAAAGTGGCGCTCGAAGACGAACGTAAGAATGTCGTCGGGGTCATCTTATCCTCTGGTACCGAGTCTTGGCGGAAAAAGACTGGATTTATGTGAGCTCGCTGCTTTCTTAGGAGGGACGAGAAGAGGTTATGGCTGTCCAAGGTAAGAACTTGAAAACAACTGCATTGCTTCCCGATACAAACTATGTTAGACATGTTAAAAACAATCGAGTTATCTTTGCCTCTGTTTTTCTATTTGTCTCCTTCTTTACTGTGTTGGGGATGTGAAACGGCTGTCAAATTGGTGAAACAAGTTTCTGAATGAATGGGTTAAGAATTGGAATTCACTCAAATGTTTATTATTCGTACTTATGAGGTCTTTTCTTTGGTACTCCGCGTTGTGTTGCTTCTCACGGTGTGAGTGTGAGTGTGGGTGTGTGTGTGTGTGTGTGTGTGTGTGTGGGGGGGGGGGGGGGGGGTGGGGGGGGGGGGGGGGGGGGGGGGGGGGGGGGGCGTTAATGCGCCGTGAGGGCGTCCTTGGGGACCCGGAGGAGCGGAGAGGAGTCCGTGACGAGTGCCGAAGCGCGGCGCGCGTACGTGTGCGGGTGCCTTTAGCCTTATTAGGGCCGCGGTGGGTGGCGAGGGGGGTAGGTGCCGGTGGCGGGGGGAGCGCCTCTAGCCGCTTTACTTGTCATCATCATGGCTGCTGGCGGTGGGTTTTACAGCTGTCACCGCCGCCACCACCACCACCACTGCTCCCCGCCGTGACGGCCCTAAAGGGAGGCACCACCTCCTCCGCGGGGGAGTAGAGCAGGGACCTGCCGCGACGCACAGGTGCGTTCATCGCTTTCCGTTTCGTTTCTCGCCCGTTGGAGTCAAACGCATCATATTCGTGTTCTTGTTATAGTACTTCGTTGTTTGTGTACCGGGAGCTCCAGAGCGGACACGTCAGTGTTGCGGGTTTGCCTACGCCTTGTGACTGTAAAAGCGCCGTAGCCTCTGCGGTTCTAACGAGTATGCAATCCCGCAACACTGTAGGGTCTGCTCTACAAATGCCCAGAAATTGAGTGCATATTTGCTTAGGTTTGGAGTGTAGAATGCTCTCAACACAAGCGCAATGCTCAAAAAAATCAAGTTCAACTAAAATCACGAAAACGCTGTTTTAGGCGCACCTGTCTATCCCCCCTCGTGTAGGTTCTTTCCATTTACCGCTGATTCAGCTGCGACGCGTCTCTAACCCGCCTAGTGCTCCCGTGCGAGCGTGTGTGTTCAACCCCCAACCTCATTTCTGCCGGTCCATTGACAAAGCTTTACCGTAAAAGGAATACTAAAAACGAGATGAAAAGGGAGAGGGATAGAATAAGAGGGCGCGAGAGTGAGAGAACAAGAGACAGGGCGGTGGGTTAGCGCGCTGGAATGAAGGTGGAAGGGGGGTATACAAGGGGGAGTGGAAAGAGAAGCGAATTATTCCCCTTTATATTTTTTGGACCATATTTTTTCCCTTCTTTCATCACGCACAGGCCTCCAGCTACCCTCCCACTCTGCCACCTCGGAGCACTGCTCGCCCCCACTCTCCGGCCCTAGTTCTCTCTCTCTCTCTCCCCTCCTCTCCTTCTCCCGCCCCCTATGCCCCACCGATCCGACCCCCTATACCAGGAGGAAAGCTTATTGTAAAATTACCGCACGTATCGCGTGTTGTGGCGGTAGTGGGGCCGCCTGCAGGGGAACGGGTGAGGGTGGAGGCACGCGCGCAAGGGGCGGGGTGGGTAGGGGAGGGGAGGGAGCGGCACTCTGATTCAGCCAAGATGAGGTTGTGGTAAGCTTTTTCGCTTGTTCCCGCCGCGGCCGCCAGGGGCGCCGGGCACCGTTCGGGCACCGCCCCTCTCTAATTGTCATATATTGTTTGTGTGTGGAGTTTATAGCGCCGGGACCCGGAGCGGGAGGGGGCAGCGCGCGGTTCTTTTCTGCTTGCGACATCCAGGCCAGAGGACCGCTCCTCTCTCCCGCCTCTCTACTCTTCCTCGTCGTCATCCTCCTTCCTCCTCGCCGTCCTCCTCCACCTTCTCCTCCACCTCCACCTTCTCCTCCACATCACCTCCTCCACCTCACCTTCTCCACCTCACCTCCTCCACCTCACCTCCTCCACCTCAACTCCTCCACCTCAACTCCTCCACCTCACCTCCTCCACCTCACCTCCTCCGCTGTGACGCCGCTCTTTCGTCGCGCAAGCGTTGTGTCGTGCCCCTCCATAAGGTGCGCCGCAAACGGAAAGAGAGAACAAGACAAGGAGATGTTCGCACGAGATCGAAAGCGGAGCGGAGGAGGCAGTCAAACACGATGCGGGGGGACACCGCCGCCGCCCCGCCGCGCTTGTGTTTTATCGCGAGCGGAAACTACAGCGATCGCCCCTTGCTCCGCCTCCGCCCCGCCAGAGCCCGTTTATTTCCAGCGGCGGACAGAGTTTTTGGCGCAAAGTTTGAGTCGCTCTGCTCCGCTCTGCTCCGCTCTGCTGCTCGGGTCATGATTTGTGTACGGCCCCCGGGGAGCCGGACGGCCCGGGGGTGGCCATAACCGGGATTGTGACCCTGCTGCGCCCTCCGCGCCCCAGACTATTGTAGTACCGCGGAGGGGCGGGCTGTGCCCAGGCGATCGCGCGGCTTACGTATTTTGGTTGCGCGTTGCGATATTCCTGGAGTGTGCTCGGGGGCGCTAACCGTAGCGAGCGCCTTTGTACGCGCTCCAGACGGTCATCGAGAGGGCTGCGCGCTGCTGCTGCTGCGGCCGCGCCCCGCCGGGCCCCGCCCCTCCGAGTTATTGCCCTTGTCCGTTGTCGGATTATGGCACAAGTTTTTCGGTCGCGCAGGACTTGCGCGTCATTTAGGAAGTTATACTCATGACAGCTAAGAAGAAGAAGAAGAAAGTAGGGGCGGGAGAGAGGTGGGCTGGCGCGGTGCAGGAGATGGTGGCTCGGAGGGCCCGCAGACGCCCACCACCCCTTCTTTTCTCACCGCGGGGTTGGGGTCGACGCCGCCGCCTGGCCCCGGCCACCCGGCCGGCCCGTCACGTTCCTTTGTGGCGAGAAAAACTAGTTTAAGTTGCGCGCGTAAGCGTCAACTTGTGTGTATGTGGCGAGTGGAGTTTGGCGGCCATTACTGTTTTGGGGATTATCACCACGTGGTCCGCGGGCGCGCTGTGGACCGTGCCCGAGGCCCGAGCGGCCCGAGAGCGCCCGGGCGGGTAGGCCGTCCCGCCGCGCAGCGCTGCAGAGTGGCGGCCTACCTCGCGAGGCGCCCGCCGAGGCCGAGCCGCGCACCAGAGGATGACGACTGTGCGACAGAGCAACTCAGCAGGGACCAAGTTTTCTTTTTGTGCGCACCTTTTTTTTGTCGTGCTTTGGATCGCAGGCAATAAACGCAAGTGATTCGGTCTGCTGCGACGGGTCCGGGCGGGATGGGCAGCGGGGGGTGCAGGGACAATGGGAGGCTGGCTTTGCAGGGATGGCTGGGCCGAGCCTGGCCCGGGCCGGGGCGCCAGGCGGAGCCATAGGCGGGCGGGCAGGAAGGAATTAATCATGTATGAAGCCGGCAAGTTGTTGTGGTGACGACTGGGGGAGGCTTAGAGGCGGTGGGGAGGGCCGGGAGGGGCGGGGAGGGGAGGGGCGCGACCCGCCGGGCTAAGCGGCGTCGCAACCCAATGAGCTGGCGCACCGTGCCGCATCTGGCCCAACTGGGGGACCCCCGGGGGCGGTGGGGCCGGGCCGGAGCAGGGAGAGCGGCCGCCACCCCTTTGCTCTCCCTGCTGGAGCCGCGCCGCCGCCGCAGCAGCCACTCGGCGCCCGCGTCGTCGAAAGTCTCGGAACAATACTTGAGTGGAGAGGCGGCCCAGCCACAATACGCGCCGCGCTGCGGAGGAAATACTTATACGGCGTGTGCGGCGGGGCTGGCGCGGGGCTGGCGCGGGGCTGGCGCGCGGGAGGTTGCGGCCCTGCTCCTGCTGCTCGCCGTGTTTGCATCATTGTGTGCGAACAATGGCGGGGGCTTAAGAGTTTTGAACTACGGGGGGGCATCGCGCTCTCGATCCTCAAGGAGTAAAACGGCGGGCGGGACCCGGACGATACAGCTGCCGCGGCGGGAGGGGAGCCCACCCTGCTGCTGCCACCGGGGATCATAATTGTGGAGGAGAGGAGCCGGGCCAGCCGGGCCCCGCACCGTGTCGCGCGAGAATGGTCGTCTCGCGAGCTGGAAGAAGCTTTATCAGGTTCGAGCCCTCACCCCGCCCCGCCTCGCCCCGCCCCGCCACGCCCCCGGCCGCGAGCAATGGCTCACCCCCGAGTGGCGCGTGGGCGGGCCCTGCCCGGCCCGGCCGGTGATCCGCGCGCCGCTACTCCAGCCCGTTCTGGGGCGTTACCGCCTTGGCAGACCTCTGCCCCCCCCCTTTCCCCCCCTCGGGCCCCTTGAGGCCGCGCTTCTTGCTTCCTGTCCCAGGGACTCCTCGACGCGCCCCTGACTTCCGGTCTCTGGGCGAGTCTGGCGCTCTGGCAGGCCGGGCCATGGCTCGCCGGCCCGCCCCGCCCCCGCCTGCGAGCGGAAAGAGTGAAAATGATTCACTCCCCCGCCACGCTCCGCCGCGCCCCGCCTCGCCCCGCCGCGCCCCGCCACGCCCCGCCGCGCCTCGGCCGCGCCCCATTGGAGTCTATCGTTTGGGGTGAAAAAGGGGCCCTTCTCTATATGGGAGGGTTTCGGTGGTGGGGAAAGAAGCCTGTTGGGGTTGAGGGCTGGTTTGCAAAACCCAAGTACTTTGAGAGAGGATGCCCCTTTTACGACCGTTGCGCCCTGCGCTTCAAGCGGACAATGCTCAACTCTCGTACATCCATCAATACAACTCGTGCCTTTTGTGTACGAAAGATAACCTCCCTTCAGCTCTTAATATATGTTTTGCTTATTGCTTATCATTTAAAAAATTAAATACTGCGGACTTTTTTCTTATTTTGTCTTTTTATCGTGTTGTTGTACGGTAGTGGGTTTTCGTACCGATGGAGATAGTTTTTGACGTCAGGTCGGTTTTAACTCTTAAGAGTGGTTTTTCCCTTCTCCCTATATGTGGGTCAGACGTAAGCACGCGGCGCCCATCGCAGGGCAGGGGAGTGGTATGCAATCAAGTGGA